TATGTCAAATCTTCATAAGACATATGTATATAGTTTTATTTCTTGTTTTAAATATTTGCCCTGAGGTGTTGATAGCTTGTAGGGAAATAAAGTCTTTGTTGTGCTTATCACTGTGGAGGGGAGTGTCAGGCCCAAGGAATTGCAAATAGGGTCATTGTTCAGCCCAGGCATGTCCAGATAATTACCATAGATGTTCAACTTCAGTATCAGGTTTATCAGGAGCCAAGACCCTTTGATCTAATAATCCAATCGGAGAGTGAGGGGTGGGGAGTTGTAAAGAGGGTCTTGGAAACCCTCCAATCTCCATTAGGCCTTGGGAGGCAACCAATGGAAAACTTGTCATGTATCCCTATGGACACCAGGGGTATATAAGGACTGGAAAAAGTTAGATCTTTCTCTTTCCTGTAATTGATGACCAGAGGGCCCTGTTTGAACATCTGCTGGTAATTATCCGGATAAAACCTGTGCACTTATATATATATGTTTGTATTGTGTGTTTGTACCATGGTTTGTGCTTTTAGTGATATTTTTATGTATGCTTAGATCTCTTCTTTAGGTTTGTAGTTAAATAGATTGTTGGTTCATTGTATTCAAGTCTGTATACTATATACCAATAAATCCTGTTATTGTGTTGAGCTTGAAAATCTCAGGACTGAATCCTTATAATCTCATACCTGTAGGTGTGAATGCTTATATAGCACATCATAACTTTAAATAGTAATTCAGGTTACAAGAATAGGTGTCCTGTAATGAGATGCCCATGGGCATTCAAGACAGAATGTCAGAGCAGAGTACTATCAATAAGAATGTACAGGAGTCAAGAACAATGTAACCCCCTCCATAAAATAGATATTATAATAGAGAGAAGAGGGCGCCCCTTTTAACCCTTTCGCTGCCAAGCCCTCCGGAACATTTTTCAAATCAGCTGGCCAAGCTGCCAGCTGGAAGCACTTTTGTAGGTCCGTATGCCATACGTCCTTGGCAGCGAAAGGGTTAAATCTTATGATATTAGGTGATTATTTTAACTTTTTCACTTCCTTTAATATTACCTGTGCCGTATGTATTTTGTTCTGTTTACTCCATGATTTAATAACATATACTGTATAAACAATAGCATTAGTATACAGGAGCACACCAAAATCAGAAGGTGACAATTGGCTAGGCTTTGCATTTTTCAGTAAAGCTTAAATACAAGCACCAACGAATTTACACACCGTCATTTATGCTTCCACTCAAAAAATATTTGAGGAATGCTTATGTGCAAAGGGAATCAAAGTTTATTTCAGAAGATCTTCTGACTTCCAAAAACAATTTTTGTCTAGCAATTGTAAACACAATGCCTACAAATTGTATGTAGCATGCACAAAATAATTTTAAATGTCTGTGACCTCTTATCTTGACTTAAAAACACACCAAGCATAGCCAAACTGGGATAATCTGATTGTTTTTTCCTCCTTCCAGCATAATCTCAGGCCTCTCTTGTATAAGAACAGTGTGTACAGCAAGCAACACAATTGCAAAGCTTCTTAATGCGAACCTTTACACTCAAAAAGCTAATTCTACCAATGCATCCCTCTATGTATGATGATTAATAATAACATAGACATGTCCAGTGTAAAATGTTGTGATTATGAAATACTTACACTTGCAGAGCATTCACTTCCTGCTTTGAAAGGGCCACATTACGTCGGTTTGCTAAAGCAATGCACACAAAGCAGAGCATTGCTGGGAAATCTCATCTGTAACCTCATGAGCTCTCAGGGAAAGGCATTTTCTTTCCCTGAGATGATGTGCATGGTCACATGTCTAGTCACATGTGCCAGAAATCCAGGAAGTAATAGGTGAGCTAGTAATCTGCCCTTAGTTAACATGGCCACTGCCAGAAGACTGTGGAAGAAAAGAGAAATAATGGATGCAAAGAATACAAAGCCGGCAATTATCTAGAAGTATGTGTTTGTAGATTGTCATTATTAAACATATCTAAAAGGTGTGTTTGTTGTTACTTTAAAGATATGGGTAAAGGTCCGCTTTAAAACTTCGGGCAGCTTTGTTCAAAAAGCAACCTTCAGCTCCTGTATGAAGATGCCAAACAAGATCTAAATAGGAGAGCTCACTACCACTTTAAACAAGCTGCTAGCATCGTGATGTCAGTGCCCCTCTCTGCACCAATAAACTGTGACTGCAGGGAATCATGATACCACCCCCTCACCGGGACGACCCTTGAGGCCCTGCAATTACAATATGTATTCTGGGGTGAATGACAATAGTTATCATTCAACCCAAAAGAATGAAGACATCTTGAAGCAAAATGCAGTAATTATGAAAACAGAGCCAAAAGAGGAGGTGAGTATTGCAGCCTGTGCTGCTTTTTATTTTAACTTGGGAATGAGGGACATTAAAAAAATAACCCTAAGTTGGGTTTTAAGTTGGAGTTTTAGCTGAAGAAAAACATACATAAAAGTAAATGTATTTTCCTTTAATTGCCTGTACTGGAGAAAAC